TAATTTAGATACTGATTTAAAATTTATAAAAAACTAAAACAAATTTTTTAAATTATCTCATAGTTAAAAATTAATCCATAATTTTCATTAATAATACTGAATTTGTAGTTAATTTGTTTTAAAGTGATTTTTTTATATAATTCTTTTTTAATTTTAAATTAATTTTCATTAAATTTATAATTTTTCACTTTTATAATAAATTTAAGTGTAAAATTTAAACTGGTTGATTATAATTTCATTTATTATTTCAAAGTTATTAGATTTCTAAATTTTTTTCACCAGAAAAACTTTTTTTCTATTTTTTTAACTAAATTATCGTTTAAATATTTGTTAGATTATGAAGTTTTTAATTCTACCTTTAATTTATCTTACAAATTATATGATAAAATGCTTGATTTAATTTAAATTATTAATATCTTTAAAAGCTTAATATTAATTCATTTTTATACATATATGGATTCATAATGTCTATTAAAAAGATTTTTACTTATCTTTTCATTTTTTAAATTAAAGTTACTATAATAATTTTCTATATGAAATATTTCTAGATTTTAAAGTTTAGGTGTATAATCTAAATTAGCCCGTTATACAAATTTCTTCGATAATTATTGAGTTTATAAATTAATAAAAGTAAAACTTTTTTCTTTACTAATAACTTAAAGATGATCAAATTTCTTGTGAGCAACATTTTATAATTTACTCAAAAAATTTTGCTGATTTTAGTGGACTTGTTTTTTATAATTAAAAAAATTTTTTTTTTTAATTTTTTTATATAATTTTTTGAAGCTTGAAAAATTTTAAAATATTTTTTTTAAAAAAAGATTTAGCCATTTCAGTAGAAATTAACAAATTAGAGAAACTCAAACGTAGTCAAAAGTAGTTGATATTATTACAATAATGTTGTTTAATACGCCTTTTAAAAGTTTTTTATATATATTTGATTAATTTATATTATAGTTTATAAACATTTTCTTATTTCAGAATCTTTTTCTTAAGTTTTTATATATAAACTATTCTGAAACAGTTCTCACAAATAAATATTTTTTATTAACTAAGAAAATATTTTTTAGGATCATATTATATTTATCAACTACAATAATCCCATTAAAAACCTGTTGATCTTTTTTGTTTGCAGCGTTGCTTTTAAATAAATTTAATTAATAGAAGTAAATTATTAAAACCAAGTAATTAATAAATGAAAAAACTGAAATTTTCACATCAAAAATTATTTTTCTACTAAAATAAAATATAAATTTTTTTCTTTTTACTGAATTTTTAGTTCTATTTATTTATAGCATTTGTGACTAATTGAAATTTACATTTTTTTATATATTATTATTTATTAATTTATTTTTAACTTCTTTTATATATATAAGAAAGACTATAAGATAATATTAATATTAATTTTTTAGTTCTTACATTTTAACTTTTTATATTTATAAAATAAAAAAACTTTACAAGATTGATACATTTTATTTCTTTTCTTCATTATCAACTTTTTTTATAACTTTTATATTTGAAAAAGAAAAGACTATAAAATATTATAACTTTTTTTTATTAACTTTTTATATTTATTAATGAAAAGAATATAAAACATTAATATTATTATTTCTTAGTTCTTAGCATTTCTTATTTATATAATAAAAAGACTAAAATATTATTAATATTAATTTTTTAGCGGCGAACATTTTTCTCTCGACGACTGGAGAAGTCAAGCTCGGCGACTTTGGCGTTTCCGGGCGACTAACCGATACGCTTTCGAAAAGAAATACCTTTGTGGGGACGCCCTTTTGGATGGCCCCCGAAATAATACTTCATCAACCTCATTCTTATTCGGTATCTTTATAAAATAAAGTAAAAAAATATTTTTTACAGTGTTTACTATATTAAAATAAAAAAAGAAGAATTTTACTTTTAACAAAGTAAATTTTTATTATTAATATAAAATAAAGCAGAAATAAACAGAGTTTTTTAATAATTAGCTTTTTAACTACTGAAAATGTGTGAAAAAAACTTAAGCAATGAAAGTATAAAAAATTATCCAAAAAAACAAGAATAAAAAAATACAAGTGAAGTAAAGCTCAATAACCAATAAAATAGAGGATAAATTTGCTGTTATATTTAATTCTTTTTTTCTTCCTTATTTATCATTTTGTTTATTATTATTATTATTTTTTTATTCCTATATTTTATTTATTTTTATTTATTTATCTTTTTATTATTTTTTTCTTAAAGGCTTTGTAATAACTACATAAGTTTTAAAAAAATACTGTCAAATATCTATAACATTCATAATAATAAAAACAAGCAAGCAGTAGAGATTAATATTTTTCTTTAGGCGGATATCTGGTCGCTGGGGATCACGTGTATTGAGCTTGCGGAAGGGAAACCGCCTCGCTCTCACCTGCACCCCTATAAAGTTCTTTTTGAGATCCCTAAAGGTTTGACATTTCTATATTTATATAACTTTTTAGAATAGCATTATTATTTTTATAATAAAAAATATATAACAAAGTAAAACTTATTATAATTTTTAGAAAATATCATATGTAACTTTTTAGGGATGATAACTTCTATATTTATGATTATTAAATAATAAATTTTTGAAGTTTTCATTTATATTATATAATCATATACTTTTTTTATATACCTTTTTTAAATATATTTTGTTATTTTAATTATTTATATAACTTTTTTCTATTAATCTATTTTATAACATTTTTAATTTAAAAATAAACAATATAAAAAATAGTATAAATTATAATACTAGAAAATATTATTTTTAGCAACTAAATTTGTATTTTTATTAACATTAATAAAAAAAAGTTCTTGAATTCTTATTTATTTTAAATTATATACTTTTTTAATATTTTTTAAAGCTTATATTTTGAATTACAAACTACTTAAGAACGATAAATCGTATATTTAACAAATTTTAAAATCGTATTTTTATAACTTTTATTATCATCTTTATCGAACAAAATTATAAATAGGAAATATATTTTTATTACTTATTTTCCTATTTTTTATAAATTTTTATATAATATTCACTATTTAATAGCAAAGTAATAAATTATATAATGCTGAATAAGAAAAGTTAAAGAAATGCAAAATTATTATTATTATAATGATAATTAAATTTTTTGGATTATAACTATAAAGAAATATAATTGTTAAAAAATTGTACAAAAATTTATTTTAAACTAAAAAAGTTAAAGGAAACTCACAATAAATTTTTTACCAAAAGAACTTTAATAATAAATATAATAATGGGTAGTAATAAAAAATATGTTAAATAAATATAATTTTACATTTATTTTATATATTTTTTATGTTTTATATTGTCATAAGTATTAAATAATAACAAATATTACTTTTTTATAATAATTAAATATAAATTGATCAATTTGTTAAACTTTTATCGATTTATATTTATTTTATATATATAAATTCTCTATATTTATATATATTAATAAATAATAATAATTATAAATAAGAATTGATAAAAGTTTCAAATTATTATTGATTTATATTTTTTTATTTGTATTTTTTGAAAAAATATAAGTACTAATAAAAAAATCCAACTTTTAATAATAGCTAACTAATTAATTATATATATTATTACTATTTAAATACAATTGATAAAATGAAACTTTTATTAATATTAATATATTAATATTAATATACATATATAATTTATATAATAGTTTGTATATTTTTATAAAATATAATTAATAAATATAACTTTTACAAAGTTGTATGCCAAAATTTTTACTAATGCTAATACTAAAATTAATAAGATTGTTAAACTATTTATTTTTTTGTTAAATTATGTAAGTCGTATAATAAAAAAATAATAATTTCAAAATTTGTTATAAAGTATTTATAAAAAAAACATTGAGTTATATAATATTATTTTTAATTAACAACTAAAAATTTTTATTTTCATACTTAAGGATATTTATTATTTACTAGAAATTCTATTTATATTAGCGATATATTCTTATAAGGCTTTTAAGAATTTTTACTTTTTAAAAAAAAAGTTTGTGTTTTTATTAAATTTATTATAAAAATATTTTTAACTGAATCTGAAGTAGCTGTTAAACTTATTGAAATATATATTTTTTTATATTAAAGAAATCTATATTTATTTATTTATTTTCATTAGATTTATTGAATATTATTAAAAAAATTTTGAGATTTTTGTTTCTTTCTTATCTGGCTCGGTTTATTCTTTATTTAATTTAAAGCGAACCCACCTACTCTGAGCATCACCGAAAAGGGCCCAAAATGGTCGTCCAACTTTCAAGATTTTATTGCGCTTTGCTTGAAAAAAGATCCTGAGCGCGTAAATATTATAATTATTTATTAATAATAAAAAGTTTAACTTTTTAATAACTTGACTTTTATTTTTTTTTTTGAATTAATTATTTCGAAATATTATAAAACTTATTTTTTTATTTAAATATTTTTTATTTTTTTTTATTTTTATAATATTATGAAGGATTATTATAATAAGTATAACAATTAAATAAGTTAATAAATAAATAAATAAACTTAATATTGATAAAAAAACATTTTTCTTCTGCATATATTTTTATTAAATTAAAAGTAAATTTGTATGAGTTAAAATAATGAGGGGCTAATCATAAGTGAAACATTTTTTTATAGTAAATAATAAAATTATTATAAAAGTTTTTCTAAAGTTTTATTATATATTATTGTTATATTTATTAATAGCGACCTCCTGCAAAAGAACTTCAGAGGCAGCCATTTATAAGAAATGCGAAGAAACTCGTTATTCTACAAGACGTGCTTGAAAGGCGCCTTTTTTTATATTTTTATCTATTATTATATTAAAAAACTTTTTTGTATACTTATTATTATAAAATAAATGTTTTAAGTATTTTTATATAATAGTGTTATTATTACTGTTATTATTATTTTAATTGTTATTATTTTATTGGTACTTAAAAGGTATGAAACTTACAAAGCGTCGCTTGCTAGTGAAGATGAAGAAAGCAGTAACGAATTGGAAGGTGATTATCAGGGAACTCTTCAAAAGTATAAAACATTTTACTTTTATAGTTTTATAATAATAATAACAGTTTTATTGTTATTTATTTTAATAAAGTGGTTATGAGGAAGTCAAGTTTCTATATATATAAATATTATTATTATTATTAAAAAATTTTAATATTGTACTGTTAAAAACTTTTGTATTTGCTTGTAATAATGATATTTTTATTAATATTATTCACTTATTAAAACAATTCATTAAAATAAAAACATACCAAATTATTTATTATTATCAAATTTTGTAATAAATTTAATGAAACAATTTTTTGTTGACCGTTTATAAACTTTTACTTTTTTTGGTTCTACTTTACATATTTGCTACCGATATTATAGTATTTTGCGTCTTTTTTTTGATCGATATTTACTTTTAAATTTTATTTAGAGCATAACAGAAAGTTTTTAGTTAGAGCTTTATTAAATCGGTATAAATATTATTAATATATAAACAATTATCTATAAAAAATTCGTAATACTTAGTATATTTCATAAATTTAATAACAGATAAATATAAAAAAAATACATTTTACTCATAATATATCTATAAATAATAAATTTACATAACAGATAAATATAAATATATACAGTTTATTCATAATATATATATATAAATAATTTCAAAATAACAAGTAGATAAAAAAATATACTTCTCGAATAAATATAAAATATACATTATCCCTAATAAATTAGTATATAAAAGTTATATGAGAGTGTTCTATAAAAGTTTTTCTTTGTGTTCTTTTTGTTATTATAATTGTATTATTATTTGAATTATTTTATATATATTTATGATATTATTTATTTTTATATTATTAATTATATTTATATTGTTAATATTATATATATTTATGTTATATACTTTATTATTAATACTATTTTTGTTATAGCGATCCTGAATGGACTTTTGACACTATCAAAGCTGCACTTCCTCAAGAAAACTTCGATACAATCCGGCCCATTAAAGCTTCCGACAAAAAATATACATCGCCTTCCTTATTAGCTGATACGCTCCGCCAAAGCCGACCCTTCCATCCCTGTGTCAACTTTTTAATTGGCTTTTTGGAAAAGGTGAAGTCTATAATAATAAATTCATGTATTTGTTATATATATATATTATAATTTTTTTGTACATAATATTCATTTATTATATAAAGCTAAGTTTTGTTTCAGTATATTTTTATTTATTAAAGTTGTCTATAATAATAATTTAAATATTTTTATTTATATTATAACTTTTCTTTTGTATATTTTTTATGTTTTATTATTATGAGTTTCTTATTATTCGCGAAAGTTATTCAATTTATTTTCTAGTAAACTAGTATCTTTTGTATATTTTATTTATTATTATTAAACTAACACGTTGTTAAATTTTATTTTTTATTTTATATTTTCTTATTTACTCGAAAGTTACTAAACTTTTTTATTATAAATTTTTTTTGGTAAAGTGTATAATTAAAATATTTGTATATTTTTGTTTATAGTGTTAAACTTTCTATTAACAAACTTTTTTTTAGAAAGGTGTATGATAGTAATAATATATTTATATATATTATTATATATTTTTTAACACATTTTGTATTTATAAATATCAAACTAAAAACTCTCTTGAATTTTATTTTTATATTTACTATTTTATATTATTTTTCAGCAAAAAAGTTTGAAATCAAAATACATATTATAACTTTTTAGCAAAGTTTTAACTTATTCTATAAAATAGCCTACTTTTACTTTTATTTTTTTAAATTTTTATAAATATATAATAATACTTATAAATATTATTATTATTTATAGACTAAAACTGAGGAAAGTAATAATGAAAGAGTTTGCAACGCTATTGATCAGTTGCTTGAAAGTCTTATAGAAGTTGAGCGGAGAAAGCCGGGCTTTTCAGAATTATTATGCAAGTTTATTAAAGATACTTCGCTTCCCTCAAAGTATTTACTTTTCATTATTATTAAAGTTTATAATATAAATTTTTATTAAATTCAGAAGAAAAGTTTTTATAATATATATAAAGTTTTTTTATTTTTTTTGTTAAGTTAAGTTTTTATTATTTTATTAATAAAAAAATTTTGCAAAGAAGTTTTATATATATAAAATTTAGTATTTATAATGTTTTTAATTAGAGGGAAAAGCAACAATTTTGAATTTTTTTTTACTTACTACAATTAAAGTTTCTATTATTATTATTTATTTATAATTAAAACTATTATAATGACATTTAGTATTTATAAATTTATGTATACAGAAAAGTAACAATTTTTAAAATATATATTTTACTTATTACTATTATTCAGTAATTATTATTATATATTTAAACCTGTAAAATATTTTTTTGAAGCACTTTTATTTACTTCTTTATTTTTGCTTTTTAATTGTTAACATTATTGATATTAATTTTTTCTATTTTTATTACTTCTAAAAAGTTATTCATATTTATAAAACTTTGCGATATTTTTATAAAGTAGTTATTTTTATTACTTATTTTATATAATATTTTTTTTAATTATAATGATTATTTTTATCATTTTTTTTATGTAAGACTTTTTATTTTTATATTGTGTAGTATTTTTTTAAAGTGCATAAGAAGAATACTTGTTTTATTAAAAAAAAGTTATAATTTAATAAATATTCCAAAAAGTTTTTTTAATTTACTTCTATTATTATCTATTTTAATTAAAAACTTTTATAAAATAATAAACTTATAGAATTTATTTTTTAAATGTGACTTTTTTGTTTGTATTTATATATAAAAACTTTTTTTTGTAGTTTCTTCTACTAAAAAGTTTTTTGTAATATATAAATATTTTATATATAATTTATATTAAAATATAAATATAAATTTTTTTTTCAATTATTTATTAGTTTTAAGTTAATCATAATTTGTTAATGAGAATACTGAATTTTTAATTTTTTTTAGTGATTGTTGTATAAAAATTTTATTATTTACTTTCAAATTAGTTTTATAGACTTTCTGATATTAAAATGAAATTTTATATTATTAATTGTATTTACATTTGTATAATTATATAAATTTATCTTAATAAAAAAAATTTATATAATAAAAGTTATATAAGATTTGTGGTTTGTTAAATATATTTAATAAAAATAGTTTTCAGTAATAATTTTTAGAAACAATTTATTTTTAGCATTTTTTAGAGTACGACATACAAAGTGTTAATTCCTAAAAATAATTTACATTAACAATAATTTTTAATGAAAAATAAAAATAAAATGTAATAAAAGGACTCAAAAAAAAAATAGAAATAAGGATAATAAAAAATATATATTCATAATAGAGAAGCTAAAAATTATAAAATAAATATAAAAAAGTACACAAATATAATAATAAAAGTATAAACTAATAAAATTAATAATATAAGTAATAAAAAAAATATTAAAAAAAACATAAATTATATTAGTACAACGTCTCATTAGATATTATTAAAATATAATTTTAAATAATAAGATATTTTAAAAAATTTAAAACAATATACATAATAAATAAACTTAAAAAAGATACATTTTATGTCAATAAATTATTTAAATAGATAATCATAAGTAGAATTATAAAAAATATAAATATATTAAAATATAAAATATAAGTAATAATTAATTTTAAAAAGAGAGAAATATATTAATAAAAAGTTTTCAATAGATATTAATAAACAGAATTATAAAGAATATAATAATATTAATACTATAAATATAAATACAAAATAATAAGTAATTTTATATAAATTATTATTTCTTTTATATAGTTAGTAGCTTTTTTTAAGCACTTTAAAAAAAATTTGTAAAAGTATTGAACATGTAAATTTTTTTATTATTTTAATAAATTTGTAGTTTTAGTAAAATTCACTAACTTTTTATATGTTTTTTGTTTAACGTATTTTGTTGAAATTTTTTTTATTTTTAATTTTATTTTATTATTTACTTTAGTTTTATTCATATATTTATTGTATTTAAAAAGTATATAGACTAATAATGACTACAAAAAAGTTACTATTTTTTTAAGTAGTGGTAATGTTTCTGAAGTTCTTCTAGATCGTTGGGTTCTACAAGATTGATTTAGAAAGGAAATAGATAAAAAAAAATTGTTATATATATTTTATTATTGATGTATTTGAAATTAATTATATTAATAAAAAAAGTTTTATGAATGGATTTATTTTTATAAATTTCTACAACAATTTTATATGGAAGAACCAATTTTTATTGTTAAAAATTTTTTTTCGAGACCAATAAAATTTAAAGTCTTTTGTGCTTTATTTATTGTAGTATTTTTAGTAGATGCAAGAATAGCTATACTATTTAAAAAGTGCAATACTTATTATATATGAGTAGTCTCCTTATGGTTTTGTTAAGAAAGTTGCAAAAAATTATTAGTCTAGTGAAACTTGCTTAGTAACGGAGAAAGAAATAAAGGGTCATAATAACTTTGCAGGTGATCGCTGTATTTTAAACGCAGTCCGCTTCCCGTATCAAGGGCGTATTAGTACATTTAAAAATATATATGGAGAGAGTCAGGTGGACTGATATTACGCTAATATACTTTTAGAGTAAAAAGATATATAAATTTTTTGTGCTTCCTATTAAATATAATACATTCAAAAGGATATAGAGTAATAGTGGAAGAAAGTATGCGTATAGTTAAGAAATTAAAACTTTTGTACTTTCTATAGAAAAAAGCATTTTAATACATTAAAAAAGATGTGAAGGTAGATTCAAAAGGCGGGCAGAGTATGCGAACATGTAAATAGTATACTATTTACATAAAAAGATATATATAAAGTTTTGTGCTTGCTATCAAAAAAGCTAATAGTCAAAAGGTGAACCGAAAGTATTCAGATATATAAATTTTATACAATTTATGTATAAAATTATATTAACTTTAGTATTTTTCATAAAAAACCGTTTTAATACTTTTAGAAAGATATAAAGGTGTGGTCAGCAGGCGGACAGAAAGTATGCAAACATATAAATTTGTAATATTTACATAAGGATGTATAAATTTTTGATGCTCACTATCTTCGAGCGCAGCCTGCTTCCCATGTTGGAAGTGTATTTATACACTTAAGAAATATAAATGTATAATCAAAGCGGACATTTAAATAAAGAAATTATTATTATATAGAATAAACAGATATATAAACCAGATATAATTTAATGTTCTTTAAAAATTTATTCATAGTTTTTCTATTAATATATAATAAAGCACATGAAAAACACGTGGACAAGACACAAGTGTTGGGTACCATGCGGTGTGGGTACTTGATTTCAGTTCTTAAATTAAGTGGGAAAAGAAATTTATATTTAGTTTTAATATAGTAAAATTATTAACGTTGTTGTTAATACCAATTATGATTAATATAATATTAAAACAAATAATAATTTAAATAACTTTGAAAAATTATATACAGTAGTTTTAATAAATAATTGGTTTTTACTAACTAAAAACTTCAACAAATTATGTGCTCTATACTATCCTTTCTTATTCGACTTTCTACTACAAGTTAAGCGATAAAAAGTTGTAAATTCTAGAGTGTAGCATTTTAATTTTATGAATTGATAAATAACTATAATCTTACTGACAAGAACTAAGCATTTATTGTAGAGGAGGTGATTGAGCTTAAATGCTAAAAAAAAAAATTTCACACAAACATATAATGGAAAGAGACAATTATCAAATAATTATTGTTTTAATAAAATTATTAGCCTATAGGTTAACAAAAGGGATGTAAATCATTTTTATTTTTCTTTTTCTAACTGAGAAATTAATAGGTACATATAATATCAAACAATCCATTGCCTACAACAAACTATTTATTAGCTTAATTTGGTTCATGCACGAGCTTTTACTGCATAAATCCTTTTTAAGTTCTTTCCTTTAAGAGTAGTTTTGGCGATCATAAAAATTATAAAAATAACATCTATAATTGAAATTTATTCATCTTGTAGGGTAACAACCTTAAGGTGTTCACTTCTTCCCTTAAGGCTCTATACTTTCATACTGTTTTTTTTTAAATTTATATGGCAGACTTATCTCTATTTAGATAGCATTCTTCGCAAATACTCGCTTGGACACTATCACAATTTATTTTTTTTAAAAAATCAATGTGGTCAAGACATAAGGTTTACTTTTCTTTAAATGGAAAAAGGCAACAAACTATTGTCTCAAATTTAATACAGACAACATCCCATGGTATGATGTATTAAATCATATGAGAGTAATACTTGAGAGTGTTTTTGCTATCAAAAAAGCTAAAATAGACGTAAAACCTCTCTATGACTGCCTAAATTTAAAAAAAATAAATTATACTAAAGTCATGTGGGCATCGATAACGTGTATCGTCCCATGAATTTGCCCCCCAGCAACTGATTAGCGTGCCCAGTTAGCCGGTTATAAAAGACAGTGGCATAGCGAAGAAAAAGGACCCAATATGTTTTGTCGCGCTCGGAGGGTAACGCTATTGCTGCGAATCGGAAGTCCATTGCTTCAGAAGCATATATCATTATTGACTGGGTACAAGATATAGAATCATCGTTTGTTGTGCAGTGAAAGTTTCTCCCAGTGAATTGTAAACGGTAAAGCGCCTTAGTCGCTGCCTTGATTTTTCCATTACTGAAAATTTGTTATAAGTAATGACTCCCAGACCAAGGGTATACACTCATCAAAGGTTAAGGGCGCTAACGAGAAAACGCGGTCTTTGTTATTATGTGGTGCTCTTTTTCGCGTTCTGTGAGTGAGCGAAACGGCGACTGTGTATCTGACACGCGCACGCTACAAGCCTGCCAAACCAATTGGTGAGATCTATCGCATTGACCTCAAACCAAAAAATGTTAGTTACCTTTTATTCTACTTTAACTAAGTAAACATGGTTTTGGTTATTTCTCTGTTACATTTTGACACTAGATTTACCTTTTATAATTATATTTTTCTTGATTCTAACAAATACAATATTTGCTACATGTGCTGTGATTGTACCCTAAAATCAACTGCTGCTCTTGCTCTTAGCTTTCAGTACAATAATATTTGTCCTGTCGTTTGCCACTGGATTAACATATAATTTGTTTTTATTCTTTTATATTGGTTTACATTAGATATCTTTATATGTAATCAGAAAAAGGTTACATCTTACACTTTTTTTAACGCTTTTAAAATTTATAAAATTTACTAATTTTTAAAAGCAATTTTACAGTGCATACTTCTTTTAAACGTTAAGTTTTGCAGCAAATAATCCGCTACAGTTTAACACTATGGTATTTAGCCCAATCAATTTTACTAGTTATAACTTTGCTTTTTTGTATAAGTTAAGTCATTTAAAAGTTTATACGGAGGATAAATACTTTTAATAAATAATTCCTTTTTTAACTATCTTTATTGGGTTGTCAATTTTTAAAAATTTAAGTATAATCTATAATGCACAGAGTAAGCCATATAGAAGAAAGAATTGAAGAAAAGGAAAGGCATAATTTTATGAAGGAGGCTGTTCGAAGGCACAAGGAGAGTATTAAGTTTTTAATAAAAAATTAAATTATATTTTGTACGATGAAAAAGACCCTTTCGCCATTAACTTTAATTCAAAAGCTTGCCCTTTTTAAAAACATCCTCCATATATTAATTCTTGCCTTTACTTACCATAAAAAAACAAAAGCCCCAATTACTATAATCCTAAATTACTTTTTTCGATTTTAAATTTCCCAATTTGTTTTACTCCGCAGCATAAGTATAGGGCTCCACGGTCACCCAAAAGTGATGCATAACGATGTGAAGAAATTTATATATTTATATTAACATAACTATTTTACTATAATTCTAACTTTGCCCACAGGAGAAAATCAAAATATATCAAAAATACTTATACCATTAAAATATAAAAAGTAAACTATTAGTGGTTTCTAAAGAAAATGATTAGAGTAACAATGGGAAAAATTTTTATTATAGAAAAAATAAAATAATTTTTTAAACCTAAAACTGTTATATAATTAATAATTTTTGAATAACCCAGCTAAGTGTCCCTTATTACCAAATATTTTACTTTTAACTGCCTGCAGTAAGCATAAACAGTTAGAAGTACTTATCTTCTATCCATTTTAAATAGTTTACTTCTGTTCTAATAAAAAGTTATTTCTAAACTATTGGTCGAAGGCTTCGCCCACATTCGTCAATTCCGCCAATAATTTTAAACATTGCCCAGAACCAATAAGAAAGCTTTCCTAAAGCCGTAGGCCGAGCGGTACTTTATAATGATTGGATATTAAAGAAATTGGTATTGCGCACTCAGCGCTGTCCATCGTTGAGATAAGTTTCGGCTTGTGGAGCTTTTCCTAACAAAATATGTTTTTTTATTAATAAGTTGTTGCTCGTTATATAAATTTTACAGATTTATTTATTTTTTAAAATGGATATTGTTTTGTGGTTATTGAAAATATCTTAATAATGTCAACAAATAATACCATCGATCACACACTTGAGGAATCCAGTTACCTTAAACAACATTCTGAAGATCGAGGCATGTTAAAATAAATAGTTTTTATATATCTAAAACTTTCTATCTTTTTTTATTAAACGTATTTTGGCAAGTAATTTAGTAGTCTTTACACCGTTTTTTCTGTAGCGGATTATGCGTTCCCTTTGAGTTTTCAGATTCGAAGAAATAAAAGGTCAACTAAAGAAAGCCTTTGGAAAAAGGCTTTGTGTTAGTTAACTTATTATTTGAAATAGGAAAAAATTTATATATTTGTATATATTATATAAATGTTTTTAAATTCTTTGTTTAGGTCTCGTACGGGGACATGGGTTGTATTTTTACAGCGATCTTAATAATTTAAATAAGGTTGTTCATTAAAATTTAATCAAATAATAATTTTTATGTATAATCGAACGTAGTGTTCTATTTTTGAGATCTCCTTAAACTGGTGTACTTTTGAAGATTGTAGTAAAGAAAAGATAAATCGTATTTTTAAATTAAATCATTTGGGGTAAATAATTTTTTTTAGATTTATAGAATCTGTATATAATATTTTTTGAATATCCCTTTCATATTTCGCATATAGACTAGTTAATAATTTGAATTTATACTTTAGAAAAAGTAATATATTACTGTCTATTTATTGCAAAGTTGACGAGGAAGATGAATTGAGAGTAAAGAAACTTTGTTCTCAGCGTCCGCTGAGGTCTATAGTCCCCTCTAAATCGTCTGATGTATGTTTTTTTTATAATTACTTTTCTTAATTTTATTTTAGATTTCATTTTTATTGCTCCACTGAAGTTTTTACTATTTTATACTTTTATTATTTTCATTTTATGATCAATTTTTGTAGTTTTTATTTAAAATCTTTTTTTAGTAAGTGCTAATAATTATATTTTTATATACTACCTTATATTTTTTTGAGTTATTTGGTTATATTGAATTGCTGTCAAGTATTTTTTAGAATTGTGCTATAATTAATTACCAGAAGGCTCTAGTTTTGCTTAATTACTACCGTAAGATAAAACGAAATTAGATCTTCTTTTGATTTTGGAGGAATTTATAAGCGCGTAGTTAAATTTTATAGTTGATTTTTAAGTAAGTAAACTATTTACATTAATAATTAGTTAATATTTTTTTAATAATACTTTTATTTTACAGTATAACTTTTTATTTTCTTTATATTACTTCAAAAAAAATTGTTGAGTTTTGTTAACAATTTTTTATAAATTTTTTGTTTTATATAATGTTTTTGGCGTTTGAGATTTTTTTTAGCGCGTAGTAATTTAATGTATATAACAAATTTTTTAATGTTAATTTTTTTTGGTACTGAAGGATTCTATAAGCGCATAGATAATAATATTAATTTTTTTAAATCAGTTTGAGTTTAATTTTTAGCTTCTAGTGTTTCATAAACTTTTAAATTCATTTTTAAAATAAATAATAAAAAAATTTTAAATTAATTTTTTTCTAATAATTTTTATATTTTATTAAATCTGTTGCTTTAATTTCATTATGGCTAAACTTTTTTGTATAAGTTTCATCATAGATTTATAACATGTTGCTTATTAATTTTTATGTGCTCGTAAATTTTTATTATTTATAAAATATAAATAAAAATACCTTATTTAAATTTATTATTATAAATTTTTTTTAAAAAAATCGTTAACATTTAATTTGAATTATAATTATACAAAACTTAATAATAATTATCGCTGGTAACTTTTTAACCTAATACTTTTTTACTTATTTACTAATTTAAAAGTATTTTATTTAAAAAAAAAAAATTTAACCAAGTTTTATATACATGAATTTTTAGATAAAAAAAGTTTTATCAAATATAATTTTTTCATTAAATTTAAAGAATAAAAATTAGTTGCTGGGAATTTAAAATTTTGATTTTTTTAATCTTTAATTATTATTTTTATGTATTTTTTAATTTCTAATTTCGTCTATAAACTTCAGTTTTCTTCTGAGAAAAACTTTTTTTTAAAGAAAAAGGATCGTTTGTTTCATCTTAAAAAACGAGTGGTTCTTTTCTTCTTCATCTTATTATTGTTATGACAACTTTTATTATAGTTTAAAAGTTTTTATATTATTTTTACTTAATATTTTAGACGCCCATTTCTGATTTGGATTTTAAAATTATAAAGCAACCAACGAAAACTTTTGGAGTTTCTTTAAGTACTAATGAGTTTATAATATTTTTATATAATGTTAAACTGTTCTATAAAAATTTGCTGAATTATTTATATTAATTTTTTTTTAATTTTTGATAACGAAATAATAAATTTTTATTTTAATTTTTTTGGTTTTTATTTCCTTTTTAAGTTTTTTAAATAACTTCATTATTTTGTTTAACTATACTTGCAGCTCCTTTAAATCAAAAGTATTTTTTATTGTTTATATTACGTTGAAGTTATTAATTTTTTTATTTTATTATTAATATTATAGAAAAAAGTTTGTATTATTTTATTTATTACTTTATATACTTGTAAATTATTTGATCCGGATTTTTTACTTTTTTTCAACTTTTTTAAGTTTTTTAGTTGGAAAGTTATTTAATTTATTTTTTCTATAATTTTTTATAAAAGTTATTTATTTTTTAGCTGAATATCTTTCTTCGCGCCCGAATGGGATTCTTATTCCTATTATTGTCACTAAAATTATTGAAGAATTGAACCGTCGGGGGCTCCAATTGGAGGGAATTTACCGCCAAAGCGGTTTTGTTTCCGTTAGAAACGTATGAAAACTTTTTATGATTAAATATAATAAATAATGAAAATAATAATAATTAAATATTAATATATAATAAAACTTTTATTATAAAAGTAAAATATCTCTTCTTATTTATATTTAATAAATTTTTTTACTATTTGATATTTCATTTGTATAAAATATTAAAGATAATTATATGTATATAATTATCACAATTATGTCTATATGTCATATTATTTTGTTATTAAATTTTATAAATATTTCGTAATCGTTTTTATATTTTAATACCAAAAAAGTTTGGTTTTCATTAATAATATTTTTTTTTAATTTGATTAAATATAATAATAGTTTGCTTTATTTTTTATAGGACTTCACAATAATTATTTTTTTTTGGCTTTTTTATTTACTATGTATCTCTTTAAACTTCTATGTTTATTATTTTTGTTGTAAGTTAAGAGGAATATTTGATTCGCCATGCAATTAGACTTCGTTTGTCTTAAGTGGTTATAGCGTTTATTGTCTTCCGACCTTATTTTGGGCAAACCTGTAAAGAAAACTTGCATTGACTGTTGTTAAGCGAAATTTGGCCTTTTCACTTTAAGCAACCCTGCTTTTGATTGGTTGCCGGTTTAATACCTGTTTGTTAGATGGAATTTATTAGAAAGGCAGTGTAACCTTAGTTTATCATTAGATTTTCATTGGCTACTGCTCCTCGGTTTTCACCTTTCTTGAAAGTTTTTATTGCTTTTGATGGGTTATAACGGTTGCCATTGTCCCTTACTGTTCATGCTTTTCAGAGAGGCAGTTATCATCTTTTTTTAAGTATTTTATTGGCTATCAACAAGCATATTTTTTCTGATTCGCCGTTTTATACTCTATCTTATCGCTTTGATTGCTTAGGATATATTTTTACACCAGCAACGTGTATAAACCCAACCACTGCTCTTCTCTATGTGTTTTTATAAAGGAAAATTTTATTGGACAGACCATAAAAACTACATTAGTCATTGGCTGGAAATACTGCTCTGCCGTTGAAAAAAATAACTTTTTTGTGCGACAAATAATGTTTTTTACTTTCGTAGTTTCTTTTTGCTTATTACTTTTTTTATATACCTTATTATAAATATTTTATTTACTTTAATTATTTTGAAATTCATTTTTATGAATTTATGTTATTTTTAATAAATAAGTATTGTTTATATTTGTTTTTAGACTTACTATATTGTTTCTTTTAGTGGTGTTTATTGTTAATTATTTTTGTTACTTTATATATCTTCATCAAAGTTTATTAATTATAAATTATATATTTTTTACTATAATATTAATATAAGAAATATTTTATTTTAATTTCATTGTTTGCTTTTTTTATTTATTATATTTATAAACTTTTTTATGTTGTATTATTTATTAGTTCATAGACAATTCATTATTTTTAAAGGGTTTAAAGATTTATTAATAATATTATCACATTATATATATATATATTTCATGGGTTAATAGCAAAGTTTTTACTTTAATTTTTTAATACTAAAACAATTAAGGTTATTACTATTAATAATATCTTTGTATGTTTTTTGTTATCTATATATTATTTTATTTATAATAAAGTTTTATATTATATGATTATTTTTTATATTTATTATTATTTATAAGAAACAAAAAATTATAGTAATTTTCATGTTATGTTGAATATCTTATTATAAATATAGCTGTATTAAATTTGAATATTGCAATGAATTCTTTTTTTTGTTAACATTTCCTATTCAAAATAATATATTAAGTTTCAATATAACCATGAATACTATTTTCTTAAATACTTATTTTATTAAATATAAAATTATATTAAATTTGTTATATATTTTTTAAATATTTTATTTTAAAATATTATAATAAATTCTTTTATTTTTGATAATCGTTTTACTTACTAAATATAATTATATTAACTTTAAATATTATAAATTTAACAATTTTATAAATATTATATTACTCTAATTATTATTTAATAAAAACTATAATAACAAGGATTTATTAAAAATATACATAACTATATTTAAAAAAAAGTAAAAAAAAAAAAATAGAATTATATAAATATAAATAAGTATAACTACACATAAAAAATATAAATTATAATAACTAAAAGTAAAAAAAATTATATAAATTAAGTAATTATTATGAGACTTTATATTTTATTTATTATTTATATTAATTATAAATATATATAATAAATTATTTATTTTTACTATTTAAAGGAATTGAAATCCGAATTTGATAATAACGAATTAGAAGTTGATTTAACGGAAGAAAAATGGCACAACACACACTCTATTGCGTGAATTTTTTATTTTGTTTTGGATTCGTTTATTTTTTATTTTCCCTTGCTGTCTATTGTGCGTGGTTTATTCAAAGTTGTATTATAAATCTTATGATTCACTTTTATACTAATTTTTAAGATTTTTTTCTGTAATAAAGTTTTTTTAAGTTTATTATGTATATTTATTTTATTTTTATTTTTATTTTAACTAATTGGTTTATTCTTATAAAAGTTTATTGGGTAAAATTTTAAAAAAATTTGGTAAGTTCATAAAATGAGCTCATAACTTTTTTTGTATAAAATTTTATTTTTATACGGGCTTTAACGTAAATTGTTTTATGTATTCATACATTTAATAGATTTCTTTATATAATCACTTTTTAGTAGAAATTTATATTACTTTTATTTTTATATATGCATTAGACTAAAGTTATATTATATTTTTAATATTATAATCTTTTTCGCATAACTTTTTGTAAAAGTCATTTCCTATATTATTCCTAACGAATTTTTTAATAAAATATTAAAAAGTTTATTTATATTTATTATTTTTATTTTAAGTTTATTCAGTCTTTTTGCATTCTGAATGGTTTTTTTAAAAACTTTAAACTGGGATTACTTTTTTATTGTATTATAAACGTTTATATTTATATTTGCATACTGAATATTTTTACTAAAACTTAAAAAAAGTAGAGTTTTAATATTTTTACTATATTATATACTACAACTATATTTTTATTTTTTATAATATTATAACGTTTATTATTTATTATATGTTTATTCAGTTTATTTCCTTATCTTTAAAACTTTTTATACTGTATTTTTTTTATTTACAAAAAGTTTTATTCTACATATTAAAAACTTTTTTTATAAAACTTGTAAAAAGTTATTATATATTATATACGTTTTGTTTATAATATTATTGTCTTATACAGGTTTATTAAGTTTATTTGTTTTTATTTTTTTTTTAATTTTGAAAAGTTCATAATTTATATACTCTGCTAATTTAGCAAACTTTAAAAAAAGTTTGTTATTTTTTATTACTGTTATTTTCTCTAATTTTGAAAAGTTCATTAAAGTTATTGTTACTATTTTTCTATAAAATTTTATAAAGTTTATTATTATTTACTATTACTTTTTTTTTTTTCAAAATCTTGAAAAGTTTATATTATTCATTATAACTATTTTTTTTGCTGATTTTAAAAAATTTTATTGTTATTTATTACTACTATTTATATATTAAATTTTTTGAAAGTTTATTATTATTTATTATTACAAATTTTTTTCAAACTTTATTAGTTTATTATTAACTAGAGCAACTCTCAAAATGTACTTCCGAGAACTGCCCGAGTCGTTATTTACCGACTCGTTAGTCCACGTGTTTTCTTCCCTTCAAACGCTTGACGATTCTGATGCTCTTTTAGTTTGTTTGTACCTAATAAAATACGTTTTGCCTCAGGAAAATTATAACGTACAAATTTATTAAAATATTTTATTGATTGGTTGAGTTTTCTTGTTCTTCAGTTTTGATTGGTTTTGGTTTGTATTTTGAATATTTTTATTTTTATAATATTATGTACTTATAGTTTTATATATTTATTTATTATTCTGTTAATTTTTCCATTTGTTTAATAAATATATTATTTTTTTTACTTTTTTTACTTCGACCTATTATTTTATTTTTACTTATTTCAGCGTAACGCATTTTATTTTATTTTCACTTTTAATTATTACTATTATTAAAGTCAGTATAAAAATTTTATAATGCCAAATTTATATTTAGTGTAATATTTTTATTTTTTTATTATAAAAATTGTTAAATTTTTATAATTTTATATGAATATAATAGAAGTAGTTATTATGATTTTACTATATTTTTTTAATTATTTTTTTTACTATATTTTTATTATTTTAGTTTTTATATAAATATTTATTTTTTACGATTATTTTTATTAATAAAGAAAATAATTTTACTTTCAAGGATTTTTTATATTAATTAGTTATATTTTTTATATAATGTTTAACATTACTTTTCTTTATTAATTTATATTTTATTTTTTATTATTATAAAATTTTTATTGAACTTTTGTTATTCGGAACTTTTAATATTTATATAAATTTAAAAAACCTTTTTATTTTATAATATTATTTATATAGAAGTTTATTATTTATAAACTTTTAATATATATTTTATTATAAACGTGAACTTTTCAGACGCTTCAATATTTATTGAATCACTTGAATGATATCGTTGAGGAGCCTAAAAACTTAATGGGTTCTGCCCAGCTAGCTATCTGCTGGGTTCTTATTATTATTATTATTATTATTATTATTATTATTATTATTATTATTATTATTATTATTATTATTATTATTATTATTATTATTATTATTATTATTATTATTATTATTATTATTATTATTATTATTACTATTATTATTATTATTATTATTTATTTTGAAGGCTCCTTCTCTGTTCGGCGTTGACCAGTTTCCAATTGCTTCAGGCTGTTTTGTAGTTCAACTTTTGCTGGAGAATTTAAAAACTTTTTTTGAGTCTTCATTGGCTTCTGAAGAGGTGAATAGTGATAAATAATAATATTATTAAAATAATAAGTTTGCCTAATTATTTTTTTTGGATGACTTTTATTAAATATTATAATTGATACTAAATTTTTGAACTATTATCAAGTTAATAAAAATCAATAATTATCAATATTATAACTATTTACGACTATTTTAGTTTATTTATAAACATAATAATAAGTTTGGATTTCAATATTTTTATCACGAAAGATCAAAAGAATTCTGAAACTTTTGCAGTCGACCGGAATTGACGTTTCTTCTTTTCCTGTGTTTGGAGAAGAAAAGAAGAATTCAGCGGAAAACAGCTCCACTTCGTTTAGTAAAGAAGAGAATGAAAGCTCGAATTCGTTTACTTTCGAGTCATCCGACCCTCAAAATTCATTAAAATTTTCTCCTCACGGGGATTTTCCCGAAATACATAAAAAATATTTTTTGCAAGGGCGATCGAAAAGTCTTCCGGCGAATAAAAATTCTATAAAGCTTCTGATAAACGCCGATAAGAAATTTTTTAATAAATCGAGCAAATCTGAACATTTTGATAAGCCAAACTTGGTAGCGTGCAAAAAGTCTAATGAAAGTGTGCAGGAAAGTTCGAGAAGTTTTGTTATGAGTAAAAATCCTGTTAAGAATTCAGTAGAAAGATTGGAAACACCGCTTTCAGACATAGCTAGCTTTTCTGATTCGATTTTATTAGAGCGTATTAGAAGTACGACGGTTCCTACTGGCGCAGGATCTGCTTGGAATAATAATAATAATAAAGCCAGCAGCTTGTCTTCCGCTTCATTGGTCGGTAAAAAAACTTTTCAACCAATTACTCTGGCAGGTCGACTATTTCTAGTATATAATGGAAATGATTTTATTTTTTATTTACTTGAATTTTACGGAGTGACCTTGGATTTTTGTTATAAGCAATTTTTTTGCATAAAACCTTAATAATTTTCGTAATTAAGTTATATTACATTTTTTTGTGTAATTTTAAAAAAAAGTTTATATTTTTAATAATGTTTTGTGATAAATATATTTTATTTTTTATTATTAAGTTATGATTTATTTTAAATTGATTTAGTTTCATTTTATATAAATTTTTTTGGGTTTTTTAGTACTAGTGATTTTTAAAACTTTTCTTTGCAACAATATTATTTCATTATAAAATATTTTTATAGAGTATTTTGAATTATTTGGAAGAAAAAAGTTTCAAAACACCAAATTTTTTAGTAAATATTTCCAAATCAGTAATGTAATAATCGTTTATTTGTTAAATAGTAAATAAGCATTCCATAAGTATTTTAAAAATATATGAAAATTTATGGGGTAACTACTACAATTATAAATAACCTATAACTGATTTGATTTTTATATAAATTTACTTGTGATTATTAGTAAAAATATCAAAAAATATATAAATATTTTAATAATTACTAATAAAATATTGTTTATTTTTGTATATTACTTCTGTATTATTTTTATAATTTTTTTATTATTATTTTATGATAAATTTACTATAATTCTTGAATTTTTTATTTTTTATAAAAGTTTATATAAAAATTATTTATTTATTTAGTTTAATATATTTCTTGTTTATAAATAGTAAATTTATATTGCTTTATATATTTTTTTATTTCTTTTTTTTTTTAAAAATTCTTTTGACTACTTTAGTTTGTTAACTTTTGTTAGTAAAGATATAATTTTTATTTTATTATTATTGTTTTTTTTACAAAAGTTTTAAATAAATTGTTTATTAATTATTTTTTAAAGCTTAAACTTGCTTCATGTTTTTATTATGGTAATTTAATTTTTTTAATTTTTTTTCTTACTACTAATTAAAAAATTACCATTTTTGTTAATATTTTAATATATATGTATATTATAGCGAATAATAAGTTTAATTGAAAAAATCTGCTTTTTTTTGCTTGTTTTTCTAATTGATATCCTTTATTTTTCTATAAAGTAATATAAATTTAAAAAGTTATATAGCAAATTTTACTTATAATTTTCGTATATAAAATTTATTACGATTCTTTGATTTACTTAATTTAGATTTTATTTTATTTTTATATGTAAATTTGCTTAGAAAGTACGAATGATTTGAGGAAAAAACTTTCAGAATTGCATATAAAAAAAGGAACATCCTTTTCTGCAGATCATGAAGATGAAGTAAATGAAAATAAAAAAATGGAATATTTTTCGCATTCAATTTCTTCTTCGAGCGAATACAAAGTGATGGCTGAACTTTTAGATCAAGAAGTTGCTGTACTCGACGAGGAAATCAATCAACTAATGCATTTACTATAAAATAAGTGAGACGTAAAAGCACTGAACAGCGGAAGGAAATTTATATTCTTTTTTTGTATAGAAACTAAATTTCTGATTTGGATTATTCGGGAATTTATGATATATAGATTTTTTATAAATAAAGCAATTTTTTTTTCTTTTTTATTTAATATTTAATTTGACGAATTAGACCTTTTCCAAAAAAAATTTATAAACGATTGTTAGGGATTTAATTTAAATTTAGTTATAGACAACTATTATAGAGGAAGGAAATTTATAATCCTTCTTGTATAGAATTTTTTCTCTGAGCTGTCAATTATTTGGGATTTAAAGATTTATAGATTTATTTATAAACAAAGCAATTTTTTTATTTTCATGGAATAATTAACTGTGATGATTTAGAATTTTTCTAAAAGTTATAAACAATCGTTAGGAACTTTATTTAACTTTAATTATAAAAGTTACTATATATATATAAATAATATATATTTTAACTTTCCTATAGTTTTTATTTGTTAATAACTTGGAATTAAATTTTTATATTAATATAAATCTGCTCAATGTTTATATATTAACTTTTCTGTCGATTTATTTAATAGGAATTGTATATATTTATTTATATAAAGTTTAAATTATTTTTGATAGCGCTTTACAATTGTTGAATAAAGATCAGGGAAAAAGTGACGAAAAAGTATAAATTTTAAAAATAACATATACATTTTATAAAATATATATAAAAAAGTTTATAGAAATTAGTAAATTTATTAATAAATCGAGTTAAAATAAAAAATAAAAAGGAATTGTAAAAGACTTCAGAACTACAAAACTTTTTTAAATAAAGTTAGAGTTGATTTTGTTAAAGCTTCTTCATTAGACGCTCCACTTTAGTTTTAAACAAAGGAGAAGTGATGGGTGAATGTTTTTCATAAAAAGGATTGAGTAGTACCTTGTTTATATAATAATTTAAATTCCAAAATTTGTTATTCAGAAATATGAACTAAATTTAAAAATAAAAAAATTAAATTAGAATTATAAAATGTTTAAACTGCTAATTTTAGAAAAAAGGGGTCGGTTATTATCTCTTAATATAGCTTAAATTTTATTAACGAAAAGAAAATTTAGAAAACACACCTTTTAATCAAAAACAAATCATC